CTTCCAATGCACAAAGTGCAATCTCTTACTGTAACGTAAATTTACATACTACTAATATACTTACAACTGTAAGGTTTTTGAAACTATTTCTAATTTCTGCTTTCTAAAATGAAAGATGTCTATTGTTGCTCTAAAAGTAGGCTACAGAGGTTCAATATTAAGTCACATTTTCCCCCTTTTGCCACATGTAAGGTACGTGCACTTGGTATAAGCACATCAAAGCTGTTGCTGATAAAAGGCACAATCATTTTTAGAGTTAACAAACTTTGCCTTTATGTCAGAATTTCCAGCAAAGGCCTTGGGCAATAATATCACAGCATCTCCCTGAATGGGCTGTGGCTTGACAGCTGTGAGGACATATGGTTAAATGGTACATATATCACTATCACTTGTAATAGCTAGTCTCACCCAGAGTTAAAGAATAAACCTTGTTTTTTTTTTTTTTTATTATGACTACAACTGAATTTGTTGCAAGCAGACTACAAAATACTGTAATGGCATGCACACATAGTAAACGTTTTTAGAAGGGGAGCACCTGCACCCTTATATTTCCATTTTATTTCTACGAAGTGATACTGAACCCCAAATTGCTCTTGATGCTGTGCGTCAGTGTATGAGTGTGTGTGGATGATTAGTTTCCTTTCTAATGGGCAGTTAGAACCTTGCATGGCAGCCACTTCCATCAGTGTTGAAATGTGTATGTGTGGATTGTTGAGTGTGGCATGTAGTGTACAGCGCATTGAGTGGTCGAACGACTAGAAAGGCGCTCTATAATAACAATCCATTTACCATTCAACTCAGTCTTTCCAATTAATCACCTAGACTATGGCGCCCAGTGCGTTTCTCTGCCATTAGTTTCATAACTAACTGAAAATATTTCTATACCTCTCTCTCACTCACAGTACAAGTATCTGCGATCAGATCTCTCTGCCCCTCCTGTACAGTCCACTGGCAGTCACACTGCTCTGTAAAGACACACAGAGAAACACCAGCCAACCAAACAATACTTAATTCCAGACAGTTTTGTTTTCTTTTATCATTGTAATAATCTTACTCACTTATTTCTTTGTATTTTAAATTTCATTTTCCCTTTTTGGTTGTGTTGTGCTGTTCTTTGTTTAAACTCAAGAGGAATTCGTGGGTGAAGGAAAAAAAGACTACCAAAGCAAAAGTGTGTTTTTTTTTTTTTTTTTAAGAGCAATGCGTTCTGACTCCGCTGCAGTCACCACGACTGATTGTCCCTGTTCTAGACAGTGCTCTAAATTCCATGTGTAATGTAAGGAGGCAGAGCTGCTGTTCCAGTGTGTGTGTGTGTGTATGTATGTGTGTATATATACATAGCTCATTGTCAAAAAACAAAGTATGGCAGCATATATGATAGAATCAATAGAAAAGGGGTATTGATATATTTTCAATATCTTTTAGTATTGATTGGCTGAGAACACAATCGCGGGTTTTGGGGTTTTTTGTTTTTTCCCCTATTTGCTTATTTATTTATTTATTGGTCTGCCTCTTAAGAACGAGTGAGAGCTGCTTCTCATTGACACTCGTTCAGCAACACAGTACACTCACTGAGCCAAAGACTTTGTGTGAGGAAAAACGCTGTCAGAATATTTTCACATTTAACTTGTGAAAGGTAGGGTAGGTAGGGCTGCACAATATGGTAAGAAATCATATTGCGATTATTTTTGACAGATAGTACGATTGTGATATAATTCACAATTGGCGGAATGATCATTATTGCATCACAATTTCCTGAGCTGTCCCCAACTAAAGATGGTCCTAGTCATTAGTTAAAGCAAATATTTGATTAGTCGGTGCATGTTTATTAATTCATTTTTCAATACCCAACAGTAAAGCAAAACTAAAGCAAAACAATCAATTCCTTGTAATTTAACATACATTCCTTAAGGTATGTTTTTCATTGGTTTTTAATCCCCTAAAAATAATATTCTGTGTTTTTGTTACCTTAGAATTAGCCGTTTTTTATATACAGACTCCATTGGCTGCTTTCCGTGGAGTCTGCCACCCTAATAATATCACTGTTGTGTCTACAGGTGGTATGGCCAAGAGAAGGACTACAATGTCCTAGTCATGGATCTGCTTGGACCCAGTCTGGAGGACCTGTTTAACTTCTGCTCTCGCCGTTTCACCATGAAAACGGTCCTCATGCTGGCAGACCAGGTAGGTAACACTTGCACACACTCGCACACTCTCACCTCTATGTAATCTTTTGAAGCAGTGAACATGCCTGAGAAACACAGTTCTAACCTGTTGGCTTTGGTCTGTGTGGGATAAACATGATCTCTGGTTAGGTTAGGGTTCCCAGTTCCCTCACAGTCCAAAGACTAATAACATAATAAGGTTGGCTTACTGAGGTATTTTGATTAATGTTGTTAATTAAACCAGTTTTTCCTGCTATAACACATCAAACTGTCCTCTGACAAAGTTCTATTGCTGACTCTAAAATGCCCATAATTGTGAATGTCAGTATGTACTCCTGTCTGAAGTCGCCCCTACATCACTGGACACATTTCAGTGTATCATGTAGATAACTGAGGGGATGGTATATAACTTTTATATTTAACTGTGCCCTCCTTGTCAATTTCAGATGATCAGCAGAATTGAATATGTACACACAAAGAACTTCATCCACAGAGATATCAAACCAGACAACTTTCTTATGGGCATCGGCCGTCACTGTAACAAGGTAAGACCTGTCCACATACTGTAAGTATGGATTATTGAAGATCTGTGGTTATGGTAGCTATGTTAACTCCACAGTCCTGATCCCTAGCTGATCTACAAATTAACTTTAGAAATGGTGAGCCCTTCACGGAGATGTCAAATTACTTCTAAAAGACCCTTTCTATGGCGATTAGTGTTTCAGAAAAACCTTGTTATTGGCACTTGGTCCATGGCATGCTTTTGTAAGCCTGCAAACAGTAGTATCAAATGTCATACTTTTATCACTCTTTTGACAGCAACATTGCCTGGTCTCAGCATCAGCAACAACCAGTAATGGTTATTACCCAGGAGTTCAGTCTAGACCTGCTGCTATTTGAAAAGTGTCCTGAGATAACTTCTGTTATGAATTAGGGCTATACAAATAAAATTGAATTGAATACCCTATATAAAAAAATAATTGATAATAATAATTAAAAAAATTAAAGAAAGGACAGCAGACATAACTAGTACAATTAGTGGAGGAGGTCTGGAAAAGGTGTTAAATGGTAGAGTTGTGAAGACTATAAAAAAAAAGTCTTTCAGGGCTTCACTGATTAGTTTGAAGTCAACTTTCTACAGTTTAATAATACTACAGTCCTATGCATTTATCAGGTGGAATTCAGGGTAGATTTTAAGACAGTCAGAAAAATCAGACAGTTACCAATGTCTGTATATTTGAGTATCAATATTGATTTAATCAATTAATAAAAGTATATGGTTTTCATTGTTCATCAGTTTTATAATCTCCAAAATCACATCGTGTGTTTATGCATGCCTGCATGTACATTTTGAAGATGTGCATGACAATTACCCCTGGATAACCAGTTATATATAGAAATCAGAAATGCAAGCATTTTAAGGTTCCAATCTGCATTTGGAGTGGTTTGGAGCTATTGGGCCTTTTTCACATTCTAGATAGACAACTGACATGCAGCAAAGTTCTCTGTATTTGTCAAAATAACAGGCACCCTAATATCAAAGTCTATGTGGGTCATAATTATATTAATGGTTCAAAAAAGTAATTAAATATATGATAAACAATTGCTCAGTTGTCCACCCTGGGATTTGAAATTAACACCTGCCAAGCCCAAAATGTGGGTAGATTTTCAGTTTAGTGAGTAAATCTGCTGTGGATCCAGGACTGTCAGGAGCTTAAGGCCAGACTTAGTAGAGAGGTTTTTGTTTTGTTTTGTTTTTTTATTATTAAGCATCCAAAGTAGAATTCAGTAGATTTTTTTTAAGGCTTGAATTAATAAAAATTTAAAATAAAAAAAACAATTTTGCTTTAGATTTTGCTCTGACTTCTTTACGTTTGTATTCAACCATTAAAACCTTATTTTAATTAAATGTACTGAAACAAATATGACACAAATTACAGTTATCCCTCACTATTGGAGTATCCTTGAAGTAAAGGGCATAGGTTTGTGAGAGGCTGTTTTTGGTGTCGTTTAAGCAAATACTTTGCATTAAGAAATCTACAAACTACAAATTATGACCCATCTAGTCTTCAATACCCCAAAGACATTCTGAATATCCAATATCATATATTTTCATATTTTAAATGAAGATTTTAGAACAGGTGTTTTTCAGATAGGATTTTATTATACTGAGAACACAGTTTTTGTTTGGAATTTTAAGGTTCTATCTGGCAGGACAAAAATCTTTCTTGGAAAAAGATAGTTTAGTCTTTGTTTCATTATACTAAATCTATGCATTCATTAATGAATTGACTTAACATATGATGTATTTGTCAACAGACAATTCAGTAACATGCTTTATTGACACAAACATTTAGTCAAATTTTAGGCGATTTTCACTGATGAATTTAAACTGACACAAAGTTTCACTAACAATACAATTCAAAACAAATTAGGTTTTGCTATCAATTTCTGCTGATGCTTTCTCTCCTTATTTTAGACTACATTCTTTCATCTTTCTGCTGCTGTTCGGCCATGATTGCTGTGATCTCGAATGTACTTGCAATAATTTTGAGTCACTAACGATAGCATTAATTTTTCTCACATTAGCATGAGCTGTGTGACAAACATTAAAAACCAGTCTTTCTTGGACATTACCTAATGTTAATATCAGCTTTTCACTGTGTTCAAACAACATAACAAATAACTTAGTTGGTATCTGTAATGGTGTCTTTTGTTTATTTTGCTCCTATTCCGGTTTGTTTTTTAATAAAAGGGCATTTTAAGTAGTGTTTGGGGGATATTTTTGTATAATTGAGTGAAGTAAACCTTTAAGGCTACCCACACTAATGAATGCTGATGAATGCAAGAAGTTTCAAACACAGAAGTGAAATAGTTCTTATAGTCCACTCCACTAATATGTAAAACAAAAGGAAAAGATAAAACCTCTTCAACAAAATAGTAATTTAATTTAATTCACTATTTTAATTGTAGCGGGTCACACAATCGTGGTCTTACTTGGATACTTTTTTAGTAGGAATGGCCAAAATGATCAAATTAAGACCTTACATATGTAAACAAATTTTCCTCATGTTCTATAATTGCCCTTTCATTATAATGATGATGATGATGATAATTCTTGATATAACGTAAAGGTTGCAGGGTGATGTAGCTCACTTTCTATTTACTAGATTATTGCTGAAGAACTGATTTTGCATGCTGGACAATGATGCTGGGTTTGTAGCTACCCACACAACAAAAATATTCAAGCCATTTTGTCAATGGATGTCATTCATTTGCGTCTGGGTGTGTGTAATCAAGTTGCCTGAACTTAAAATTGATTGAATTCTGTGCCCAGTATTTTGAGCCCTTGCAGACAGGCAACATTTGGTTAAGTTAAAGCATGGGATGTATTTCAACTTCAAAATGAATGTGCACTATGTTGCACAAGAGGTGTGCAGCCACAGCCCATCTTGTTTAATGATGAATGATGTTGAATGTGAAAGCTTTGCTGCTGCCAACCCTTAAACTGGAATCTTTCTCCATTTGTTGTAAATGTTAATTTGAAAGGTTAGGTTCTGCCTAATATAAAATATTTAAAATTTAATGGATTTGTTGTAACTGAATTGTTTTGAGTATTCCGTTCCATAATCAACATTGATTGGCTAAATTATGAATTTGACAGGAGGGTGATGTTATAGCTAGAGAGCATGTTATATTAAATGTATTTTTTTCATATATTTATTTACACACCTCATACTAAGTCATAATGCTTGGTCTCGGACTACTAAGCAGCTATCTTCTCCCACTCAGACGCAGAACATACACGTGTGTTGGCCGTCATATCTATCTGCATTTATGGACATACCGTAATGTAAGGCTGTTTATAATCTCAATATTTACTTTCATAACAACAAAGCCAATCATTGCATAATGAACTGTTGCAGCTTGAGTGCATACTCAACAGACATTTTCTTTCATATTTATTCATGTCTGTCAGAATTTTTGTGTCACTGCAGTGTGAATTACAGTTACATATCCTATGTCTCTGATGCATTAAAGGATGCAGTGAACTCACTATTGATGTGTCCAGGGTACGCCTTGATAATTCTAAATTGTGAACAACAAATCTGTTTAAAAATTAACATTATGTTATATATCTTATTTCAAGCACGGGAGACGATGTGAAGTTGTCTGTAGCAGTTCCAAACAAGCTCAGTAGACAATGACACGCTTACGTGCTAACGGATTTGGTGCTGTGGTGTTATCTGAACTATATGAAAGACTGCAACTGCAAAATAAATGACAAATTAATATTTAATTATATCAACATCACTTCATATTGTTAGAATTGAAATGTGGTCTTTTTTTTTTGTGTGTGTAGCTATTAAGTATGGTGAGGATGTTTTATGAAGCAAATGAAGATTATTGTTCTTGGTTGAAGAAACTAGACTATGGCTATATAACTCTGTGGAAGCATTTGTGTTGAGCTGTTTTCCAGGATTTGCATGGACTTAAGAGCAGGGATAAGCACAGAACTGGTGCTTTACTAGCACTTACTAGGATGTAACAGTAAATGTTTTTGGCCAGTAACAGTATCAGTTAGGCTGTGCATGTGCTAATCTAGCTTCTCAAAAAAACAAAAGTACTTATTGCTGTCGCTGAAAAATAATTTTCAATTCATATAATTAAGTGCATGTTTACCTTTATACAAAGAGGGGACAGTGCTTTAGTTGTGAAAAAATGTGACACATTATATCTTGACAACCCTAATTAGCACTAGCACCTGATGAGTACTAGTGCTGATATTGATGTGCTTCGTGCAGAATGATGCCGTTCAGTATCTTGTCAAAAGTGTTGCCTCTCAACTGTATTATAGTTAAATATTTTATATTCATCAGGTTGTGGCTCATGTTACAGTTGAAACACTCAATTTGTAGTGAGCACACACTGCTGTGTTTACCTGCAATTTTTGGCATGGCAGACCAACAAGTTTTTGTACATTCTTGTCAATGCAGCCTAGCTATCTTTATTCACATACCCTTTCTGCTCCTGATAAACCCGATCAGCTAAACATTCTTTGACTATCATTTTTGTGTCTGGCTCAGGTTAGGCTAAGGTGGTATGACTTGGAGCTCTGCTGGTCTCACATGCTTACTGTGTAAAATGGCTCTCAATACATCAGTTTATGTTTCAGATTTGATGGTGCTCTGTTTTACTAAGCAAAGTTTGTAGTTTTCAATATAACTTGGTACACACCGCTCTGGCTCCAAGGACCTACAGTTTTCAGTTTGGCCAGAAAAGAGAAAAAAAAAAGAGCACAAACTTGTCTTTGTAGAGATACTTTCTCAAGCTGGGACTGCTGTTTGTAGCCTTTGTAACTACATGAGTATGTGTGTACATTTTTATTGTAATTATTTTGGTTTATAAAATAAACCAGCACATTATTTAACACCTAACCATTTGTGGAGCTGTTGCACATTATAAAGTGAAAGAGCGCAAAGTTGGAGTTAAACTTTGGTAAGGTAACAGTACCTCAGGCATCTTAATGTGATATGATGGTTGCTAGTGTAAGATTCACAACTGACTTGTTACCCAATTTTCTCTAATTCTAACCCAACTCTAGTAAAGATTAAACCCATTACTTGTTCTGTTTAGTTGCATATGGTTTAAGGTTTTCATGTAAACATAGACTGAAACTCTTCCCATGTTAGTGGTGGCCTTTGAACAACCTGGTTAAAATATGATCTGAAGAACTCTTCAGGGCCTGCTCTTGTTTGTAAAGTCTTATTTGTTAGTAGATGTTTTCAATGCATTCTTATTCTTTGTTTTACTGGTGAAGATGGTCAACCATGGTCTCCTTACCATCGGCTGCCAACCCCCCCAGGTCTTGTCTGAGCCATGGTGTTGCCTGTCTGCACTGGCCTTTATTTGTCACTGTCAGACATGATATTGAAGTTTCAACTTCTTCACGTCTACAGAGACACTTCTTGTTGTACAGGGTTGATCTTTCTACGGTTGTCCTGACAGAAGAAATTCACAGTCCTGTGGTGTCTTCTAGACTGATGGCCAGAAGGATCATATCTGTACCACAAAGATTTTTTTTTTTTTAACCTGTGCAGGTCCAGCCTTGGATGTACAGAAGGAGGTGCTTATACTAGCCATACAGGACACTCTTAGTTGTATCAAAGGCAGCAAACCATGTGGGTGCAACCAGAAGTGCCTGTTGTACTCATACTAACTGTGACTGAAGGTGGATAGAGGCTGTGTGATTTTGACCCCTGCCCCTCTACTGTCTGCCCTAGTGTTTAGACTCGTCAGTGGGGAAGAGGAAAAGAAGCTTGGCTGTTAGCTCTTCTCAGGACCCATCTTTCTCAGGATTAAACCAGGTGTGACCTTTACCACAACACCAGCTGCCTCACAACAGCAGTTGCCGCTTTGCAATCATACCTAACTACACTGGTTTAAATTGAATTGGACCACCAGCATCCATCTTGCACTCATAATACCCAATGTATGTACTCCCCCACTCAGTGTGCACTTCATTACAGTGAAAGAGGAAAGCAAACTTTCCATCAGCATTGCCTAGGGAGTAGCTATTGTCCCTATGTGTTGTAAGAAGGGGGCCCAGTCCCTCTAATTGTGGCTCAAATGGTGTCTTACCTACATTAAAAGCCAGTTCCTGTCTTTTTAATGTGATGTTTGGCCTGAGAGTAGTGTGAGAATGTATCCAATTGGAATGCATTGAATCTTATAGTTATTCATATTATACCAATATTAAACCTGATCTCCGAGCTAAAGCCCCAGAGAACAAGCAATCATACTGATGAATACAAAAGCAGTATGCATCCAGTCTAAAACGGTGAGAAGTTATGCGACAGAGATGGACAACTAATAATGTATTACTAATATTATACTTCTACATAAAAAAAATGGTTCCTTTTTTAAAATGACAACTGAGTCTACCATGGGTGTCTTAAAGGCATACAGCTCACATGCTAATATCCAGTGGCAGGGTATTTGTTTAGGGGTATAAATCAGAAAGCAATCTCACCTGTATCCTTGTGGGGTGCTGAAATACAGTGTTTTTGCTGGAGAAATAAAATGAAATATAATCTTTGATTAAGAAAAGGCTTGGTCATTTAAAGCTATACATGCAAGTAAAGTGAATCGGTCCATTATAGTATACAAATTTCAACCAACTTCTTTATGTAAAATGTTTGTCCAGCTGGTGAATATCAGCCAAGCTTCCACTTGGATGAAGTGTCAAGTTACTCACTAAAATAGAAGCTTAGGTACTGTGAAAGTCTGAGTAAACTGTCCCTTCCCTCACAAAAAAACACTGCCTAATTTGTGTAATCTGCCAGCCCACTCAAACCAAGTCACCATTTCAACTGCTCACCTTCTACATGTGAAACTGTTCAGATTTGATTTTTAAAGTAGTTAAAAATGATTAAGGACCTTTATTCTTTTTTTTAAAAGATTAAATGGTTTGTCCGGCTCAGCTTAGCTTGAAGTGTAGTCTAATTTTACATGGGTGTCATAAGGCCATGTGACTCTCATTCATTTAGCATTAGGCCCACAAGACTTTCATTTGGTTGGTTAGCAGTAAGTGCTACAACACCCACGGCCTATGTTTTTAAAGTTTGGTGATTCTCCCACAATAAACTTAAACACAATATTTTCCTCCAGAAGGACTGTTCTCAGGCCAATGTAAATATCACAAGCTTAACCAGGAATTGGCGCCTCACATTGGCTGCTGCTGCTTGTGCTTCTGCCGTCCAAACATGGGTTCATGAGCTCCTTTTTTCTTTTTTTGATCGAAGTGTATTTGTTTCAGTATGTATTCTAGTTTTTCTGTTCTTTAAATTTGTTTTTATTTGAATGTTATTGGTGTGGTGCATATGAGTTGCTGATGTTGCAAATGAAAGCACCTGTTGGAAGGTGATATGTGACATTAAACACTGTAAATATATTTTAGCAAGCCTAAATTGGCTAACTGCAAATGTACATTTAAAATGCAGACAGGTAAACATTTTCCTGTAGCAGCTTCCATAAGAATTCCGAATAGGGAAATTCTCTAATGAGTCATTTAACAATTGTTATGTACTTCAGGTATACTAGGCATGTGGTTCAACTGAAATCTCAGTGTTGCAACCTATACGCACCTGTAGGTTTTCTTAATTCACCAGAATTTCAAGACACGGTATGTGTAAGCTAAGATTCCTAAAGCTAAAGAGTTTTTGGTATGGTCACATTTGGTCGTGTGTGTGAAGAAGGAATTTTCATATATATTGTGCAAAGTGGTAGTATAATGTCATGGTTTTTATGTAGTGGTAGCTTCAATCTCAAACATTTTTTCAGTAATATTTCTCTGTAATAATTAAAGTTTGTGGTTTTTGGGGGGTGTTCAACTTCAGTTTCACTTCTGGTTGTGTTCCTTTTGACAATACCTGTTAGAGTTGTAAATCAGATGTATTCTTGAAGTGGGCTTTATAGTTCTGTTTAATGTAGGACATATTTTGTAGATGTTCATTTGCAAACGACATAGCACATACTACACTCCACTTATTAGGAAATTTGTATTATAGACGCTAATAAAAGATGAGATCTTGCCTTACTCAGGTTGAAGATGATAAAAACAATCACTGAATGTACATGTTTTAGAGACTTTATATTGACAAGAAAGGCTATTTTCAAGAATCTGAACCGCATAAAATCTGGAATGTGATATGTCACATTAATTTTAAGATTAGGAGAGTGTGTTATCTGGGCTTCATTTACACCAGTAACGCATTGCTTTGGATGCTTTGGCAAACATTGACTATCTATGGGTTATGGGTCAACAGGGATTGTCTTTACTATTGAGGAAGTACACAGGTGGATTAGCGACACAAGATAAAGGCAGCCTGTCATTTTGTGCATTGTTGGACTACTACTGGTCCAAGAACCCAGAAACCATATGATTGCTTGCTTGGCCAACATATAGCTGGGCTGTCTGGCTGTTGTTTAGATTAGTAGTTGGTATACAGGCATGGTGAGGTTGGGTGGGTTTAATTTGTCTTTTTGGTCTTGTTCCTGAAGTATTCAGCATGATCACTGAGCATACCTTATGATGTTTTAGATTTACAGGAGGCATCTGTCATTTTCATGGAACGAATCACTCTGCAGCACAGTTTCCCACATAAAACAATCCTGACCACGTGACTTTCAATGTCGTCAAACCCCTGCATGGTTTTCACACTACACTGCAAAAGCGGGTTACACACTACAAGATCTGACTTTCAAACAATGTTTAATCAATTAATTGATCACCATTAACAAGTACATTATGGTTAGTTAGGAAAGTAGTTTAAAAACATGCACACAGTTTACAGCATACTGCCATTAGAAACAGTACAATAAGCGGATAATAAACCTGATCATACAGCATCAGTAATCAGTACACATTAAACCATTTATCAAACTAATAAACAGCAGTTTAAATTAAACTAAAAGCTCCCTGCAACAAAACACCCTTTAAGTATTATTACATATTTACAATTCCTAATGTGTCTAGAAACACCATAAAGACCATTATTTGTTGACAGTCGTCAATTCAGCGTCAATATAATCCATAAAGAAACTGTATTCTGTACAAACTTTCAACCTTCGTTGTAGCTGCGTTTTTTTCAGTGGGAATGAGAGATGGACAGTTTCACCATCTGTTATGTGTGTCAGTATCTGAGAAGGTTAATGTTAATGTACTGTTAATCAAAGTAACTACGTGTCTGGTGCTGGAGAGAGCGGTTACTTGTGTCTACTCTCACTGGATGTAGCTCAATGCATGGCTCCCCCAGTCACCTCAGACACCAAATATTTAACTTAACATTTTTATTAAGATATTTTTCTGTCATCTGTGAGGCATCAGCAAGCTCTTATCGAACCTGCCTTGTTGAACACTTCACACAATGAGATCCCCCATACGGAAGTGCGCGCCAATTTGCCTCTGTTTGGGGACATTTGTCTGCAATCTCCCAAAATAGTGGAAAATCAGGACTAAAATTATTGAGTTATTGAACTGGGGTTAAGTGGCATAATTGTCATAGGGTCCAACTCAAGAGCCAACTGGTGAACAGCATAGCTTTAGGAAAGCAGCCACTAAATACATCATAGGAAATCAAAACTGGGTAGCTTGACGTTGAGTCGAATGTGAAACAGCAACCTCAGTCAATCAAACATTGGATCAGCACATTGCTAACTGTATTCCAGTGCTGACCTTCTATATGCAGAGATTGTGTTTTAAAAAAAGTTTTTCACAGCCCTTGCACTTAGTTAATGTGCGTCTAAGTGTGGTCTCACAGCCCAGTGACAACAATGTGTTGTAATGGAATAATATCAATTGTACATATTTTACAGTAATGTTTAAGAAGTTGTTGATATGACACTTTTTTCTCTGTACTTGTTAATGTTGCCTCAGTCTATGCAATAATGTTTTTGACATTCATGTTTTACAGCAGGACTAATTTTCCGTGAAAAAGAATTATCTTTAATTGTGCATCTTCATTTCTGATTTAACTTTTGGATTATTGTTTTGTGGTTTGTCAATAGAGAGATAACCACCATGTGTTCTCTCCCTCTCTGTCAGTTGTTCCTTATTGACTTTGGTTTGGCGAAGAAGTATCGAGACAACCGAACACGACAGCATATCCCCTACAGAGAAGACAAGAACCTGACTGGCACAGCACGTTATGCCTCCATCAATGCACACCTGGGCATTGAACAGAGGTCTGTGCACATGTGTAATATTTGATTCTCAAAGACAACTTTCAGGAAAAAAAAGATTTCCCCTTTTTTCTTTACTTTTATGAGAAATGTCTCTAGAAATTAAGTCAATAATTAAAATGTGTTTGAACTTGGTATTTGAAAATGTAGGAACTGTTCTGAGTGGAGCAGATCAATCCAAACAAGACTTGTGTTGGCTTTCAGAGCAATATTTTGAAGTTACAGTTTATCCTGGTTGTACCAACACTGATGCAACCAGTCTTCCACAAATTGCTTGAGTTTTCTTGATAGTAAATTAAAAATCAAATTAACATTATTTTTATGATGTCCTAATTGATGTCCCAATCATCTGCAGTCGCCGTGATGACATGGAGTCACTAGGCTACGTGCTGATGTACTTCAACAGAACCAGTCTGCCATGGCAGGGATTAAAGGTATGAAAATATAACTGACTGAGCCATTGAATGGTCTTTTATCTACTTTGTGTGTTGCTTTTTAAAGTTCTTTTTTTTTTTTTGTTAATTTTATTCCACACTTAAATTATATTATTTTAAATACATTGTGTTTTACAGTATTTGGTCTGACTTAGTGCGTAGGATTCTGTGGCATCTAGTGAAGTTGCAGATTGCAACCATTTGAATAAAGCTCAGCCTTCCTAGCATGTAGGACAAACTCCGGTGGCCACCAAACTTGTGAAGAACATGAAAAGCTGTATCTAGGTCCAGTGTTTGGTTTGTCCATTCTGGGCTATAGTAGAAACTTGACAGCTTAACATGGCCGCCTCCATAGAAGAGGACCTACTTCCCCTGGATAAAATTGACTTATTCTATGATAATGGAAACACAATGGTCCCCAGCTGGAGTTGTTATTTGGGTGACTTTATAAAACATACTGCTGGAGAAAGCCTACAGAAGGTGTGTGTATGGGACACAGAGTACAAGAGTACTGAAGGGAAAAGCAAGGTGAGCAGATTAAAGTAGTTTGTGAGTTAGGTAAGTGATGTTTGCAATGAATAATGCCACACTGTGGATACTGAATCTCTATTTGCACAGACATGGCAGGGACATAAATATGCGGTTGTATGTAACCAAGCACTAGTGTTAATGCCAGCTACTAAAACAGCAGGCATTGTGCTGTGGTGCCAAGTGTATTTATGTTGCAAAAGCTATTGTTGACAATGTCACGGAGGATATGAAAATATCTCAGTGGTAGTTAATAGAATTGTTAATGTTTTTGTTAGGCTGCCACAAAGAAGCAGAAGTACGAGAAGATCTCGGAGAAGAAGATGTCCACCCCTGTTGAGGTCCTCTGTAAGGTAAGAAAATGTTAAACAGGGACAGTGGTGAACGTTATCTTAACTTCACATGCACACAACTCAACTGTATGAATGCACGTTCCCAGGGTTTCCCAGCAGAGTTTGCCATGTATCTGAACTACTGCCGTGGCTTGCGCTTTGAGGAGGCTCCAGACTACATGTACCTGCGCCAACTGTTCCGCATCCTCTTCAGGTAAACACATATACACATACTTGAGGCAAAAGGCAATTTTGTATTTTTTGTAAAATTAACCTAAGTGTAAGGACAAGTTTGCAAAGTTATTTTTGTTCACCGCTCTATCTGGAATTTAAATACATTGACAAAGCAAGCTACATTAAGTGCAGAGTAATTTGTATGCACCCCCAAATAGGAATACTCTTCTCTCCTGTCTGATTTTGCCTTCCATCTCTTGCTTCTTTCCCTCTGCAGTTGTTTTCCTCCAGTCCTTGTCCCACTGTCTTTCCATAACACACATAAAACAGCTGATTGTTGAGAATATTGTGTAGATATCGTGTATTTCTGTGTCTTTTAGGACTCTGAACCACCAGTATGACTACACATTTGACTGGACCATGCTGAAACAAAAAGCAGCCCAGCAGGGGGCCTCCTCCGGGGGGCAGGGCCAGCAGGCACAAACCCCCACAGGCAAGCAAACTGACAAACCCAAGCCTAACATGAAAGGTTAGTAGCAAACAGCCAAGCGACGTTTTTTACAGACACCAATTGCTCATATATTCATTAAGTATTGTATTTAGGACTATTAAATATTGTTTTATTCCCTAACCCGCACCCCAGTGCCCCCCCGTTTTTTTTTTTTTTTAAAGAGTAGAAACATCTAATTGGAAATCAAAAGCAAATAAAGCTTATTATTCCTGTTGGAATGATGAAGCTAGACAGCAATATAAAGTTTGAGGAGGCACCCTAAAAGAACAGAAAATCCAAAAGAAAAAAAGAATTTGACACAATTGGTCTGTCTTGCAGAAGCAAAGACGTCCTTGGGGAATTTGACTACTAACTTTGTTGCCATGCTATTCTGTTCCTTTGTTGGGGCTGGACAACGGGCTCTCTCTGTTGTGACTGCTTTAATGCCAACCAACTTGCTCTGATCACACACCTATGATTCTTCTGCAGTCTGTCTTAATTAACATTCCCTCTCCTTATTGGACAATGTTGACAATATCTTCGTTACCTATCTCCTTCCTTTTAACACCTGTATTCCCTTGCTATTTGACTGTGACATTAATCCGCACGTGGTGTCAAACAGATGGAGACTACGTGAGGAATATCGGTCCCTCAGGACTGGATGAGGGACCGATTTTCCAGGTCCCTCATCCAGTCTGCATACATGATGTCACTGTATGCAGATGTTCCCACGCCACAAGTCCACATGTGGTTTACATGGAAAACAAAAAGATTGAAAATGTTGCTAAAATGGCGAAGAGCTGTTGTGTAATTGACTCAATCAGGTTTAGAAAGAATTCACAAGTTCTGACAGCTAACAGAAGAGAGGCAGCCTAAAGTGAGGCAGTGTAACGTTAATGAAGCATTTGGTTTTTTGAATCAAGTGCATTTATACAAGCTTTTCCACAGACACAAAAATGTCCTTTGAGGTCATGATGATATCTATTAATTGAATTGAAATACAACAGATATCTTAATTCCTATGAGTGAGTGGGTGGGTGAGCAGTCAATTCATGTAAGAATTGTGATTCTTAACTTCAGATTCTTAATCAATTCACAAGTGACATAGATTTTTGTATATTAATAATGTTAGGGTTAGGAAAATACAACAACCCACAAGTCAGTAACATGGCCAGAAACGCAGAAGTTGGACAAAAATTGGACAAACAGCCAACAACAATAACTTCAATGAACTATTTATACAATTTAAAATAAGTATTATTAAAATAAGCAGTGATTGGAGCCCAAGCACATTGTCAGGTTTTAGATGCCTATTAAGACTTATAAGTCTTACTAGCATAATAATTTATAGTGGTCATCACTTTATGCATTAGCTGTTTAGGTATATAAATCTACTTTCAGGAACATTTGATCTAGCTTATGACCTCCATTGAAAATGTGTTACACATAACTACATTTGTTGCTATTTAAAAAAAAATAAAATAAAAAATAAAAAATTGTACAAGCTTACATAACTGTCTTTTCGTCCCTAGCTTTGCAAAGACACTATCTTATTTCTTGCTGCTCTTGTCAGTTGTCAGCTGCGTCGATAACACCATGGCAGCAGAAAAGCTGTAAGCCAAGCATGCTGATGCTATGTTGGCTAAGTGTTCGAGAGCTCTGGTGTTAATCTTGGAACTATTACAGTTGTAGATTCTATAATTTCATCATCATGTAACCTTACATATAATACCAACAACACAACTCGGGGCTTGGTGTGGCCGCGTCACTTGCCGGCGTATTACGTGTTGACCACAACATGAAAATGTCCCGTGAATCAGATCATAATCGCCACGCATGCCACACCATGGGCTTGTCGTTTGACAAATCGCAAATAGCACAAGTTTTTATCTACAGTTTGTTTTGATTGCACTGCCTACTTTTGAAATCGATCCAATATATTCCCTGGGAGGAGTTTGTTCAAATAAAACACACACGATTTTTGGTATGTGAGCTACAGGCACCAGTCTAGACGTGCCCTGTGAATTTCATATTCATAAGTATTACGGTCTCCGCAGAGTGATTTACCCTGCCACCAGAGCGCCACCTAGTGGCAAATTGTTGACACATTTTTTTTTTTTAGAGAGCCTCAGGGAGCCACGGGCAATCATCGTACCAAGTTTCGTTTTAATCACACGTGCCGATGCGGAGATATAAACTTCTTCATTTTAAAGAGCGCCACAAGTAGAAGTTTGGTTTTTATTGGACAATGTACACCCAAGTTGAAGTAAATTTGTGTCTTCTGGCGGTACATCAAAGTTTGACGGCACGCCACTCACGCCGTTCAACGTACAGTCACAAATAGCACAACATTTAATCAGCACTATTTTCTGACTGTACTGACCAATTTTAAAGCAGATCCGATAAGTCAATTTTAACGGGTTCGTTCAAATACAAGACAGGCTTTTCTGTAGGTCTCGGCACGTTACACGTGCCTACCGAGTTTCATACATATCGGTGAAACGTGGCGCCGGGGCTGCTTTTTAAAATTCCTGTAGGGGGCGCTACAAACCCGATTTTTGGTATGTGAGCTACAGGCACCAGTCTACACGTGCCCTGTGAATTTCATATTCATAACTATTACGGTCTCTGCACAGTGATTTACCATGCCACCA